TTAAAAGGAAAACTCAACAAAAAATTTCTATATATTTCAACCTCATTTCACGTTGCCACATTAATTTATGTAAGACAATTAATTCAAAAGCATAGCATTTAAGAATTTTTCACACAAAATTGCCAATTAGTGACAGTATTCTTGAAAAATTCAGGAGCATGCTCCAAGATATATGCAGCTTCAACTATTAAATAGTGATCGAAGATGGTGAGAGTTTGCAGCTTGTGTCCAAGATATATGCAGCTTCAACTATTAAATAGTGATCGAAGATGGTGAGAGTTTGCAGCTTGTGTCCAATGTTCATTGCCATCAAATGCAGTGGCTGCTCCTAGAAATCTAGCTCCTCAATAAATAGGTCACAATCAGATAACAACAGGTCACAATGAAAGCATTAGAAGACACAAATATTCAAAGTAAAAACATATATGGTCACGGACAGCCACAAATAACACAAATGTGATGAAAGAGATTCACAATTAACACATAAAATGTCACAAATAGTCACAATTAACAGAAAATTGGTCACAAAAAAGTCATCGTTCACATATTAGATTATAAAATAATGTTTACATAAACATAGTTACAATCAAGACAACACTAATTGTGTACAATCAAAGTTAAGACAAATGTTACAGACAATCACATTTAGAAAGACCTGGACACATACAATCACATTTAAGACAGATCGGATCACATACAGTCACATTTAAAAAATACATAATCACATACAATCGAAGTTTAGAAAAACTTGGTTACAAGCAATCAAGCTGAAAACGGATCTAATTACAAACAATAACATTTTACATAGATCTGGTAACAAAACAATAATAGCTTACACAGAGCTAGTTACAAACATTCAATGTTATAATAGACTTAGTCACATACAATCAACTACTGAATCACAATAAAAAATTACATAATCCTACATGGCTACATTCTCATGCGGATATTCCCTTCGCAACTTCCAATAACTAGATCCATCCATTTCCCTTTTTAAGTTGGAAGGAGGCATTAGAAGAAGTCTTCACCCCAATTGATATGAATATGTCATTCCACATCCCCACCCAACCTCAACCCACCGAACACTTGGCCACAATAAAAGAAAAATAAACAGTAAAATAATTCAAATTCACCATTTCTAAAAAATAAAATAAACTTGGCATCTAAAGAGGACTAACAAGTTGAATTCTACTACCTTCCAAGTGTAAGAGTGGGACAACTAAGCGTCTAAAATGCTGTTGATAGGCAGTCGGTGGGTTACATAGAGCAATAAGAGAGAGAGTAGTGGGAGTAGTCTTAGAAGTTACCCTTTTGTGGAATATATATTGTTCGATTGTGATTGGAGAGAGATGGTAGAATTCTGATTTTTTTTTTTTTTTTGAATTATATTTTATCCAAAAATTGACTATATATATATATGTTATCCCCCTTATCTGAGGTCCCAGCCGG